ATGAAGGCGAACGCATTCTTCTAGATGAAGCTGTTGAGAAAGATAATAAATTTACTGATTCTTCCAAGACGGCTACAAGGAACTCAGAACATCAAAATGGTATTTTACAAGATGATAAAAACAAAATGGCTGTTAAGATTCACACGTCTGCAGTTGAAACCGAATGCGTGCGTGTAGATAAAGCAGTTGAGAAAGTTAATAAATATAACCATTCTTCCGAAACTGCTATGAAAAATCCAGAGGAGCAAAATAATCAATTAGCAAAGTGTATTAACAGCATTGGCAAGGGTAAAGAGAATGCTGACATTAATGTTACTTCAGCAGGCTCTGCTGAGAAGAACACAAAATGTAAAAATCCTTCTAAACCAATTGCGGTGAAGTCAGGCTCGCGGGATAAGGTGTCGAAAGGGACAACAAATAAAAAGGAGGATGCAAAACAAACGGCTACCACTAGTACATCTACAGCAGATGCAAAAAATACCCTTGCTGGCAAGGCGATTGAGAAAAATGCTAAAACTAAATTGTCAGCCACTGCTTCTTCGCTATCTATTGACAAAAATACGGGAGCTAAACCAAAATGCACCTCCGTAGCCAAAGCTAGTGCGGAGAACAAGAAATGTCGAACTACTTCTCAGCTGGGGGCAAAGGGCCACTCAAAAGCCGGCGATAAAAAAAGTCATTGCAAACAAGTCGCTTCCGCTTCTGCGATTAAAACCAAAAATGTCTCTGCAAACAAATTAGCCAAAAAAGAAACGAAATATTGGGATTCTTCCCAAACGACTACAAAAACTGCAAATCAGCGAAATGTTAATGCGAGTAATTGTAAACCAGTTGTACTCGCTCCTTCATGTCCGCGTCGAGCAGAAGTCTTTCTGAATCGAAATCAATCTGCATGTGTAAACAGGAGCAGTTATTGCTATCAGCCGTACAACTCCTACGGTTATCAAAATTATTGTTCAAGTCCAAGTTATTACAATTGCGGAGGAAGCTATTGGGGCGGCTGCTAAATGCGAAGGTCCTTTATGGTCAAATACAAGAATCACAAGAAGTCGAAAAAGATGTTTCAAAGAACGTATTAGGAAAGTGATAAGCTGAAAATCAATTTGTTAACGAAAATAATCAAAAAATGCACGAAATTAATAAAATTATGTTTTAAGGGAAAAGCGCCGTAGTTACTTTTCATTTTATTAGGAATTGTGTATGTTTATGGTGCGATGGATGTTGGGGCCGCATGACAAATACAAAGTAAAGAAGGGCTTGGGTTTTGAGCATCCCAAGAATATAGAACACGATA